ATAGTGATGGAACTTGGTACACCCAAATACAGTCGCTAATGTCTCTTTTTCAATCTGGGCGTACAACTGTTGTGCTGCTGTCAACGCTCGTGAAGCATAGGCTATTGGCTTGGACTTCTGTAGCAACATTGCACCAAGGCCTTTTGAACTTGCATCTCAGTGTGAGCTCTTCAGACTCATCATAGTATGACAATACTGGAGCGTTTAATTGTTCTCTGTGTATTGCGTTGCTTAAGTCTTTTGGATCGATGCAGATTCTTACTTTGTTAGGCTTGATAACTGTCACCATACTGTTCACCCATGGAGTAGGTTCATTCTGCTGCACGATGATACCTAGATCTTCCATCCTCTCGATTTCTTGTTTAATCTTGACCTTGAGGGCGACTGGAACTTTCCGAGGTGGGTGAATTACAGGTTTGGCGCTTTCATCCAGTGTGATTGTGTGTTCTCCGGGTAGACATCCGATACCATTGAACCCGTGAAGATTCCGGGATAGAAAAGGTTTCTAGCAACCCATGCTTGCCGTAAAAGGTGACTATGCTTGTCGTAAAAGGAGACTAACGGGATCGGGTGGTCAGGCTCTCTGACTTGGTTGATGCATGTCATCGATCCCAATTGCGTGGATCGATGCTCATGATATCAATCACTGGATTGTCTGGTCCAGACTCGATTATTTACAGACCGCCGTCATATAGCTGGAATATTGCTGAGTGTGGCGTTAAACAACAAACCAACCAACCAACCGTGGAACAAATCTGGGTGAGCTGCTGGAATGCCTTCTGGTATCACTGTATCTTTGTCTTGAATGTGATATACTCGCTTGACCAGTCCCATTTCTTAACAAGACTTGGCTCCGATAATGGAAGGGTAAACTCAATCCACAATGTGAAACATTATGTGATTACATTATGGATTTCACCTTTATAGTCACCTGGTAACTTCACTGACCCTACCGACGCTATCACGTGACCTGAATATGACTTGAGACAGACTGTAGGTTTCTCAAGACCTGTTTTCATACCTATTTTGTCGAATGTACTGTTCGAAACCAAATTGCACCTTGCTCCTGTGTCTAACTGCAATGTCACTTTTCTGCCACTTATGGGAAAGTTCTCATATCAATCATTATTCTCTGCATGTTCATTTGCTTTGTTTACCATTCCCATGAAGACTGTTTCTATTTCAGTTTCTGTTTTTTCTTCAGTTTCTGTTTCTTCTTCAGTTTCTGTTTCTTCTTCCGCTGCAGTTTCAGATTCAACACTTGACGGCTCTTCAACATGATGAACTTTCTTACTTGATTTCTTCTGTGGAGCTGGATACTGCTTAATTTTACTGTATTTGCACACAGATGCAAAATGTCCAATTTTTTTGCAAACTTCACATTGTTGACCTTCACCTGGACAATAATTATCTCTGACATGTTCATAACCACATGTATTGCATTCTCTATCAACTTTTCTGTGTGTTGATTTGCTCCTGTGACCAGTCTTTCATCTTACTTCATATTCTGACTTTTGTTTCTTCTGTTGTTTATGAACTGCACCTTCTGCAGGTCCCATAGCCTTTAACTGCTCTTGTGACATTTCCTGTGTCTGCACAATGTCTATGGCTTTATCTAACGATAAATCAGATCCCTCGTTTATCAGTTTTTCGCACACTCTAGAGGAATTAACACCAAAACCAATTCTGTCTCTGATCATTTCAACCATATGATCTCCACAGTCAGCTGCAAGCATTTTCCGTTCTGTTATAAACTGAGTAACTTTGTCCCTGCACTTTACACTGGAACTTGTATCTTCAAAATACTCTGTTGGATTTAGGTTTCACAAAACTCTCAAACCGATCATAGTAGTTTTTAAGTACTTTACGGTCATCTGCATTCATATTCCAAGTTTCTAATACGGTTCTGCCTTATCTCCAACCCATAACATCAAGAAATTACATCTTTCTGCTTCTGATTTGCTTTTCAGACGGCAAGGAATGTTCTTGCAAGAAGTTGCGTTAAGCTAACAACAATCGTCTAGACTGGGAGCCGGAATTTGTTTAAAGCAAATTCAAGTGATATGAGAGGTTGAATTTCCATTTGTTAATGGAAGGGACATAACTCGTATTAGCCACTGGTAATACTACTAGCCCAGAAATTACAGCCCATCTCGGCAAGAGTGGAAAATGGAGTTTTACATTCAGTTAACTCCTTTGCCTCGGGAAGATACGAAGATAGCTGCATGTGTAATAATGCTTATAAAGTGAACAGATTTTTTTTTAAAGTCCAGCGATAAGGTGAGCGGAGGTGAAAGGGGGTTTGACGTCGCGTCCAAGATGATTGCACTCATATAGCGACGTGCATGCACGTGTGTCTCTGGCTGCTTGTACTAGTCCGGATTGATGCTGATTTATAGTGCAAGCCCACTGAGATACCACGCCGCAGTTTAACATGAATAACCCACTCAGACACTGACTCCGAGGCGACCAGTCCTTGTTTTAGCCCCTTTATGTCGAGCGCCAGACAGGGTAACAACAAGTACCATCTTTTAACGTCTTTTGGTATGACGCGGCCGGGGATCGAACCCTGGACCTTCCAGCGATAAGGAATATTATTACAGTAATGACAAAAATTGCAAAGTGAGCTTTTCAAGAAATATCCTTTTTGTTGGCAATATCATTGAGTTTTTATCACGTGGTTAATTCTTGATTTTGTCCACACCTGGGATTTTGTTTGGAGACTGGGTATTTTTTCAGCTACAGCTATGAGCGTAAATATTTGGGTTTTTTAAAACACATCTTGGAACAATGCATATTTTGTGGCAGACAATTTCTTTTTTTTCCAACAGTCTGAAGTATAGTTCTAACCGCACTTTCTAGTGCTACAGTATAGAAAATATTGATCATCTACGTATATGACACTAAACTCTACGTAGATGATACTTACATCTACGGAGACGATACTTACATCTACGTAGACGATACTTACATCTACGTAGGTCATACTTTCATCCCCGTATGTGATATTATAATCGAACGTATCGTTTCTCTGACAGTGATATTGTCCGGTGAAGTTGCAATACCAGTTGGATACAAACATATATATTTTAAATTTAAATTAAGGTGATAACTTAAATACTGTCAATTTAATTAAATGTTTGGGAGCATGTTGGTTGTTTTGTTTTGTTTTCAACGTGTCAAACTATTAGCGCTAAAATAAAAAAACACAAACTGTAGAATTGTACCTTCAGTGCTTTATAGGAAGATGACGAGTATTGGTTTGATATAGGTTTATAAATTAATTTGAGTGATTCTCACACCTTCACTTCACGGTCTACCTCTCAACCCTAATTTCCGTCATGGAGAAATCACGAGGGTCAACATATTCCTCCGGCTTTAACCATGTTATGGTTAATATATAATTTCGCTCAAATTTTGAAGCGTCGATTACTCGAGAAAATATTGATACCTAGATGAAAGCAGTATCATCATCAGTATGATATCATCTACGTAGATGATATTTTTGTTTAGACTGTGGCACTAACACCCTTCCATACCAAGGCCTTGAGCGATTACATTGCAGAATTTCTAACTAATTTTACGTGTAATCATGTTGACGTCTAATCACTGTGGTCTGATATATGTGTAAGAACATTACTTGGAATATTTTAATGAAGAAAGAAACCCGTATCCTACACGTTTCTGCATGTTGTAAGAATAGTTATATTATGTATTGAATTCAAACTTTCTGAGATTCCAGTTTTCATTACAACTATCGACTTGGTAGAATGTGTATTGATGATATTTCAATGAAAAAATGGCAACTATCTTTGTGAAATGAATTCTGTAATAAGTTGTCATCTTGATGTATTATTACTAATACTACCGTATTAATGTGAACAGTATTCCTGAACTTTTGAAACATATTCTACCAACTCCTAATATACCAGCATGCTTGTTTGTTTGTTTGCAATATTCCAGCTGTATGACGGCGGTCTTTAAAAAATCGAGTCTTGACCAGACAGTCCAGTGATTAATATAAGGAGCACCGATCCACTCAATTGGATCGATGACATGCATCAACGAAGTCAGCGAGCCTGACCACCCGATCCGTTAGTCGCCTCGTACGATAAGTATAGTCGCCTTTTACGGCAAGCATGGGTTGCTGAAGACCTATGGAAAGGTAAAAAAATATTCTAAAATTTCTAATTAGCAAAAGGCACCAGTTCAGCTGTACCTGACAAACCTGCAAAGTTTGATGAAAATAAATTGAACGGTTTCTGAGTTATGCTCCTGAAACGAAACGTGGCGGACGGACGAAGCCCGTTTCTATATCCCCCGCATACTTTGTTGGGCGGGGGATAAGTCGACATTAATCATTCAGGAAGCAGCTTTCTCGAGCAAAACAGCGCTTGTTTCAAACCGGTGACAACACTTTCAAAAATAGCCTGACAAAGATCTCGATTCGAAATGTGATAACTTAACAAAAGAACATACTGGACTGTCTATTAGATGGCCTAGATTGTATGGCACTACTTCCTACGGACAATGCAAAGTCTCTTCCGTTCAAATGTTCATCACATTGAAGCTGGGAGTCTATATAGAGGCCTCTTTGTGTTGGCTCCCTGCATTGAATCGACAGATAGACTATGTTCTTGACTGATTCAATCGTAAAGCCCGTAACTGTCGTTCGGAATATCCCGTGTTTAGCTTATAGACTGGTCCATTTTTTGTGGATACTACGAAAATAAATGGATGCTGCCAGTTAGCGAAAATATATCTGCAAGTAGCGAATGTCGAAACTGTCGAAAAGCAGAAGGATCACACAACAAGTAAGTAAGGTTCAATAACGAGTTTATTAATTAATCATTGAACTGAAAAATCTTGTACAATGTCTCGAGATCGCGAGACATGATACCGGCTGTCAACTGTACTGGAAACATCAGTCGCTCGGCATTGTCTGTCACGATCCGGTACTTGTCTGTATCCCTCCCATGATTGATATATCTGAACTGTTAAAATAATGAAATTGTACCAATAAACTTTGAAACTTGAAAGTGTACGAAGTTGGTTGAAACCAAAACTGGGTCCATGTAATGTAATGAATACATCCCGGAAGTCGCGTGACCCAGAATGAATGCCGAGGACGCCACATCTCCTAGAGCTGTCGAAATGTCATATAAGTAATTAAAGCATGGGATTACTTAATAATCATACAGGGTCGATTCTAGAACGATCCCTGTAGACATTGGTAGGTAAAAGCCCTTGACTGTGACGGTCGGAATGACCTTGGACCCCCCGGATAAAAAAATCTTTAAATGTATTATTTTATAGGGACAACAAATCACATGCGACTTGTGATAACTGTAACTTGTTTACTTGAATCATTACGATCTTGAAATATTTTGGTGAGGTAATAAAACTAAATTAATTAAGCTTTTATTCATTTTTAAACTGATATTTTCCATGAGTAATAACTGTTCAGATTCGGACAGCAAGAATTTTGTTTACAGACAGGCATGATACGTGGGTGTTCAACGTTCACATTTCAACCTCGGGCTCTGTAAGAGATAACTGCAGCATGGGAAACATGAGTTACTTTAATTAGGAGTCCCACAGTGTAACCATTCGATCCTCATTGTAATGATCTCTTAAATAACGACTGCTTGGCTGCTGCGACTGCTTGGCGTGGAGTCTTTGTGCGGGAGCTCGACCTCCTTCGAGGTTTTGTTTGTTTTCATTTTTCTGCACTGACATAGTGAACAAATCTTTAAAAAATCAAGCACCATTTCATCTACCCGATCCCCATTTTGACCAACTCTTAAAATAGCAATAGTTTAGTTGAAGCGACAATTTGGCATGGACCGCCTGTGAAGCAATCTCTCGATTTCAGTTTTCATAACAAGGGATGCAGAAAACATGAATGTACAAGACACGTTCTTCAAGCAACAGCTTTTATCACATACATTTTAAGCAGAATATTATATAAATTTTAATTCATGTATGAAAAAAAATGTATGTTATCAAAAATAGTCCCAAATAGTCCAAATGGTTCATCCGAAAGGTCCTAAAATTAGTAGTTCACACAACACTGGCACAGCAAACAAATCCAAAGTCTATCTCTCCGTGAAGAAACTCTGGAACATGTATTTCACACAGGACACAAGGACGGCCGAGCATGACTGGGGCTGCTTGGATTCTTCACCAAGATCTATCTCCACAACTTGAGGGCGGGCTCTGGGGGCAGGGACGGGGAGGGAGGTCTGGGGGTCGGGCTGGGATGAGAGGGGGTTGACGGTGATCGTGAAGACACTGGGGCGCTTATAGAGAGGAAATAGATGTCCTTAAATCATTGAAATCAGTATCAATCCACAGTTAAGCGTGTATGAAATAAACATGAAAAGGTCGACCATTTGTTCCTACTTTATCGGGATATTTAAACAAATTGCAAGTGAAGATATACCGCCTACCGACTAACAGAGAGAAATGCGACAAAAACATATCGATAATCGACAAAAATCTGTATTTGTACAATTCCTGCAGTATCATGAGAGTCAGGGCACGATTGAGGAATTAGATATACATGTAGCTTGCACCTGGTGCAAGTTTTCATCCCAACCATTTTTCACTAGACAAAACCGATTGCACTCATAACAGAACCCATTACATAATAAAGAAAATATCATCTCAAATCCTAGAATGAAATCAGTGTCGTTAATAATTTGATATTTTCATTTCACTGACAAGATCACTTTAAATGGAATCACTTATACATCCCATATATTCGTTTGCATTCTTGTCATTTATCATAAGACTGACCTGATAAGATTCATGACGAAAAGCCCAAAGGACAATGTCATATTAAACAGACACTGGGAATGTGATGTAGTATGGTACAAAAAGTGTATTGAGTTCAAAGATGTAAGTGTAGAAAGCTTTTTTAGTTAGTCAGTAACAAATTTGTAAAATTTGTACATGCCCTGGGTGCAAGTACAGATAAAAAATTGGCTGCATTTTTCAATATCAGGTGGCACTTGTGCCTTTATTTTTGTTAAATCGAGCCCTGGTCATGAGCATGCGTTTTTCAATCACTAACAAATAGTGGTGATAACTGTTGTTTGCGAAAAGGTCATGTAATTGGAAACAGAAGTAGTTTTATCATATATATTACAGAATAAGGGAGTGTAGAACAATGCATGTCAACTTTGTTTGCCAGAAATGAGTTCTGATTATTAAAAGCTTCGTGACTATATAATAATATTATACATAGTTATCTTAATAATGTTTAACACAGATGACTTGTTTCGAACTAATGAAAGTTGCAAAGGTTCTCGAATTTGTTTTTCTGATACTAATAGGACACACTCAAACAACTTGAACCTAATGATGACCTACAGGATCAGGGACAGGAAGAGTCTTTTGGGAGACGGGGGCCTGGTAGTTCCTAAACCTGTGGAGATCGTCCTGGGCTATAATGGAAGAAATAACATAAAAAACATCATAGCCATCATCATTGTATAGACTATAACATAGACTTTTTGTTTGTTTTTATAGATACATGATGCCTGTGTGTTCTTTTAGGAGCCTAAGCAAATTATGCCAACGTTGCAGAGTTCTGTGCCAGGAAGTTTGGTTGAGGTCACTGGACATTTTGGGACAAGAGAGACCTATACTTTACAAGTCCCTCCCCTTGACACCACACTTAGTTAGGATAATCCAATATGGTATATGAAAACCTTGCCACGGGAAGAAAAGGGGAAACATAGATCTATTGTTATTTTGATCATTGATCATGATACTTTGACAATGATTAATATTATTTAACCATGGGAATTGAATTGGTACAATTCATACTAATAACATCCATACACATTCACTTCACAAAAGATCAACTGTAAAACACAAAGTACATAAATATATACGAGGGACCGGCGACGTACATGAAATGTCCCATCTGCTAATGAGTATGTCAGTCATTCTCTTTCACGTTTATTGTTACCAAATGTTTATGGCAGATTCAAGTTGGGAATACAATCCGTCAAAAGGTATCATCTGTATGCTTTGAAATCAAGATAAAAAGCAAACATAAGTTAAAATTGAGACCACTTCTAGATACCTTGATGATAAACCAAAGCAACAGCGGCATACATAGTGCAGAACGTGCGATGCGTGCGGGATAAAGAGCAAAATGCAAACACAGACGTGGAAACAAAGTGCAGGAGCAACAACCAAAATGGCGTCTTTTGTGAATTACGGAAGTAGCAACGGTCGCCAAGGAGATCCATCAGCGATCGCCGCGTCTCGTTGCTTTCCGTAGGCTTTAATTGACACAATAATTGACACAAATGATATCCTTTTGATCACGACTGGGAAATATGTTATACCTTGAATATATGGTGCACCGTGAGTTTTCATGCGACGATACGATACACGAAACGTTAAAATCAGTGTCGATACTAGACTGGGGTCCTGTCTACTAAACATAGTAAATCACGCTAATCTTGCGTCGCGTACCAACAGTGGAGCCAGTTTATATCGATACAAGACGATACACTTACTAAACTTACCACTCGTTTAATGACTCCCACTGTTTTGTGCCAGTTAAATATCACAGATGTGTTGAAGTTAGCGTATAATGTCTGCTGCAACTGTTACCTTTACAACTATTTTTGTTGTAACACGAGCCGTGTTTTAGCATTCCATCACAATGGCCGTTAACTTTTCCAAGCTCCTTCCCAGCGCGTGACACCTTCGTTACACTCTCGGTAACATCGCTGCCACCAGTGTGGGCGCAGCCATTACAAGAATCTTGAAATTTGCCCTCAAACCCCATGTGTATTAACGTTTATACTTTTGTTTATGTCTTTGGGAATGCCATCATATTTCAATTTGAAAAGGTTTACGACTGACCATGTTTTCCAGACGAATTTACTTTGTTGTTTTGATAATCAGATTGGTTCGAGATTGCAGACCAACGGAAAATCAACCAACTTCTCCCTTACATTCTTACTATATCAATAACACGATAGTTTTAATGAAACAGAAATTCAAATTGACAAACGAAGAAAGTAATTTAGCAGCGATAAGTGTATTCGGCGCACGACAGTCGACACTTGTTTGTAAACATAACGGTCATTCGGTTGCGAGTTCAACTCCAAGCATGGTTGTGGCCACCTATTCACAGTTGGGAGTTTTGACTGGTGGCAGCGATAGTATAGAGAGCTCCGGGAACGTACTATCGCTGTGAGGAGCTTGTAACTTTTCCTGTCAAGGGCAATTAATTCATATAGAGAGTAGAGTGGTTTCCCTTTGACTACACAAGCTCCTTCCCAGCGCGTGACACCTTCGTTACCCTCTCGGTAACATCCATTCGTGACCAACTCGTATTATTCCGGGACAAGCCGAATAGCGACTCGTGCCCCGCTCGTGGCCATTTTTGCAACCTGGTTCCTTCTTAGCGCAAACGGGGATACCTAAAACAATTGTCAACTCGTTGCGTAATGGTTCACATATATTTCCCCATATATTATTAATATTTTGCTATTATATTATGCTTTTTTCAAACGCATCGGGACATGCGGAATATACAGTATGATTGAACACATTTATCTGTGTTTTGGCTATATTTTTAGATGCAAGAAGGATACCTTGACGAAGAACTTGAAATCATACGCGCATTTTAATCGGTTTGTCGTATTTTCGCACACAACATTCACCGATAGGGGGACGAGTCTTCTTTGCGGGTTACGGAAAGGGGCGAGTGGTGACGAATGCACCCATGCATAGCCTCTCGCCACTTTCCGTAACCTGCAATTCGGTTTGTCCCGGAATTACACAAATGATCACTGCCGTCGGTGTGGAAGCAGCCATTACAACTTTTTGAAATTTGGCCTCTAACCGCAAATGTAGTCACGTTTATATGTTGGTTTGTCTTTCGGAATGCTATCATAGTGAAAAAAATAACTTCCCCTTTACATTCTTACTATACCAGTTACATGATAGTTGAAATGAGAAAATGATTCAGCTGGGGTAAAAGTATTCGGCGTCACAGCAGTCACAACACCACCACAACAGGCTAATTTGCATATCACATGACCCGACTTTTCTCTTATTCTGAAATAAGAACTGATTTGCCTAATGCAAGTTTTTAGGGCGCTAAACATGTTGTTTTACATAATTACATACATATCTTTCTACAACTGAGACATTGAGTGCATGACAATATATCTTTATACATCAAAGTTGCCGTATCGCTCTCTCTCAGTAGGGGTTTGATGACAGCACAACCTATGTAAACAGAGGATAACTACGCAAATGGAAAGTTCTTTACGCATTAGGACATTTTCTCAATGAAATTAACCATTCAATGCCAAATGTTTATCTAGATGTGAAGACTTGTCAAAAATGAAACAGGTGAAAATATATTCAAGCATTTGAATGGACTGTGTAATACCCCGAACACCTCTCTACATATGTGTGTATATTTGCACACGTGTGTTATATACATACGTGACTATACTTGTCATGTGAACGCGTTTACTCACGTATGTATATTAACACCAGGAGCAAATTTACATCATGTCTGGAGCAGGTGCAAATGTAAATGTAAGTTTGCCCTGTATGGATATGTTGTAATGTGAATGTTTATGCCAACGTCAGAGGATGATCAAATTACTATATATCTGTTGTTTTGCCAATAACAAACACGTTGTAAACAGTTCTCTATTCTGAAAATGACACTTTTCAGACTACAGCAATGCCAACCTTTATGCTGACATTCAGAGCTGGGTGGACGGTGTTAATTTCTGTAAGGCAACTCTCTTCTCATGATTCGAAAACAACCTTTTCATGTTGAAAGTCGTGAACAGACCCATGAATATGTGTGCTTTACGCCATTTACATACCTTATTTACACACTTAAGTTACTTTTCATGCGAACGCATAGTAAATTTAGTTACACATGTGCAAAATTACTTATGTGAGTAAATGGTGTGCATGTGAACGGGGTATAAGATGTGACTATTAAATCGTCATACGGCGCTGGCCTGTGGCAGATGTACTAACTGGCGGAAGGAGCTCTGGGTAGGACAGTCGGTCAGTCGGATGAGAGTTCAACTCCAAGCATGAAACCTCTAGACACCTATCATGGTAGGGAGCTTTCGTGGCAGTCATAGTATAAGAGAGCTCCGCGAACGGGCTATCGCTGTGAGGAGCTTGATTAGTACAACGTATGGAATCTAGCGTCTAATGGTTGGTTGTTTAACGCCGCATTCACCAATATTCCAGCTATATGACGGCGGTCTGTAAATAGTCGAGTCTGGACTAGACAATCCAGTGATTAATATCATGAGCATCGATCCATGCAATTGGGATCGATGACATTCATCAACCAAGTCAGCGAGCCTTACCACCAGATGCAGTTAGTCGCCTCTTACGACAAGCATAGTCGCCTTTTACGGCAAGCGTGGGTTGCTGAAGAACTATTCTACTCAGGATCTTCGCGGGTCGCGTCTAATGGAATGAGTACTTTATCGATTGTGTACAACTGGGTGGCATGCTGTTTGAAAATCATATAGTCCATGAATGAATTTCCATTATGAATGATACTTAAAACCCGATGGAAGTTTATTGTCAAAAAAATATTCAAGACATACGGTTTGCAATCTAAGTAGGTTGATTCCCATAACATTTCTTCCCAAATTATCGATTGCATAAACCATTGACGCAAAATTGAAAGAAATATTTGATACAAAACAACGCCTGTCATATTAGGAGAGATAGAGAGTAAAAGAAATATTAAAGTGTCGCACGTCGAAATATATACTGTATACACATAAAGGTGATTTCAATATGATAAGGCAACAGTATGTATGTAAAACAATATGACATATAAATAATATAAAATCACACATAATGATATATACTACCATACACCTAATTCAGGAATGTTCTGGCTAGAAGTGGCTAAGCTAACAACAATCGTCTTGACTGGGCGCCGCCATTTTCTTTGAAGCAAATGCATGCGACATGAGCGATGGAACCGCATTGGTCAATGGAAGTACACTCAGTTAACTCCCTTGCCTCGGGAAGAGTTGGTTGGGTTTAACGCCGCTTTTGAAATTATTCCAGTTATATCACGGCGTGTCAGCTTAATATGGGAGGAAAGCCCGAAGTGATGCAGGTCTCAGACGTTTACCACTTCGGGGAAACCCACGAGCACAGGTATGGTACTGACAAACCTAGAAACATAATCGGGGCGAACCGCCTTAGACGACTGGCCCACCCGTGCCCCTACCTCGGGAAGATGCGAAGATAGCTGCATGTGTAATAATGCTTATAAAGTGAACAGATTTTTAAAAAGTCATTCCAGCGATAAGGAATGTTACCGACAGTAATGACAAAAATTGCAAAGTGCGCTTTTCAAGAAATATTCGTTTTGTTGACGATATCATTGAAATTTGATCACGTGGCTAATTCTGGGATTTTGTATGCAAAACCAGATACTTTTTAAAAGGAAATTATGAGCCTAAATATTTGGTGTGGGTGTTTTAAACACACTTTTACTTTTTGGAGGCAGATAGTTTCAGTCTAAAGTATAATTTTTCACGCATGTTCTGAGACAATTTCTTTTCAATAAAAACGGTCGGTGCCTAAGGCCTTGTGCGATTACACTGAGAATTTCTGCTTACTAATTTTACGTGTAATCATGTTGACGTCTAATCACTGTGTTCTGATATATGTGTAATAATATTATTTGGAATATATTTATGAGGAAAGAAAGACGCATCCTACACGTGGTAAGAACAGTTGTATTTATGTTTTGAATTCAAACGTTTTGAGGTTCAAATTTTCATTTCAACTATCAACTTGTGTATTGATGATATTTCAATGGAAAATTGGTAATTATCTTTGTTACATGAATACTATAATTAGTTGTCATCTTGATGTATTATTAATAAAATACCGTATTAATGTGAACATTATTGCTGAACTTTTGAAACATATTGTACCAACTGCTAATACATGTATACCAGCATGCTTGGAAACAAAACCCACCAACTTATTGAAATGTAGAATGGACCAGTGGCCTTACATTACTGAAATACATCTATGTCTATGTCTATGAAATCGTCAACATCTTCAACTTCAGCAATGTTAAAGATAAACATTTCAGCTCTTTCTTCACAAGAAGGGAGACACAGGTGACCCAGTCGTCTAGGTGCCGCAGTTCACTGTGGAGAA